ATTGTTCGGGGTGTTGGGAAATTGTAGAATGATACCAGTGGGCAGTCGCGTGCCAAACCAGTGGAGAGGACCATACGGCGGCAACGCCAAGATATCCTTTCCGCTGGCCACTGAGCGCTTCAAGAAGACGATACCACCACGGGGTGCCATCTGGTGGCTACTATTGGCTGCAGGTGGTACGGGGCCAGCAGGCCACGTCGATGGACCCGTCTTTGATTGGTCGTCGCTAGCTCTATTACGAAATTTGTATGTGGAATCTGAATTAGCAAACATGGTGAAGACCGAATCACAAATGGCTCTCTACCGTCTGCGACAGCGGCGTACACGTCGGTGGACCATCCCCCTCATAGTAAACAGGGAGCCAGTCGGCGAATCAAATTCGGCTACTCGAGCTACTCGCCTACAGTAAGCCTTTCCTATCGGAACCAACGCGAGTGTTTTACCCTTCGATGCACATTTCAACGATACTACGTACCTTGAGTAAACGAGTAGCAAGTCGTGCACGTTGGAAGGCGAACACGAAGACGAGGTCGCAGTACGTTGAAGTAGGTGGATGATCCTGCAAAATGGTGGCCGCCAACAGCGGTGAATCTCTATGCAATCAACTCAAATGGCCAGCCAGCGACCGAGGAAATGATCGGGAGCGGTGGGTGCCGCTTCCGTGTTACACGCTCGACGACGCGTCGCCACATGCTGGCACCTAAATGATAGCATGTTCATGATGCGTGTTTTGTACAACAGCTGTATGTCCTTTCTACTAGACGCACCAATTCTACTAGACGCATGCACTTGCTACGTCGTCGGCATGCACTTGGCTACCATTGCGGCCAGTTTACTCGGTCTGCCTACATTCTAGCCAGGGAGTGCCCGCCACCCACGAGGATGCTAGCTTCACTGAATGCAGAATTCAGCGTGACGACCGCCAATGCAGCTGGAGAACGCATGGCTGCGGTGCGTTTGCACATGTGCCAAGTTGCACCCTAACTTCGTTCTTTCCTGACAATGGCATGCATGTATCGACCTTTTCCCCGCTCAATGCTCTAGCACTAGAATGATGTAAGCGCTACCGATATTATCATGGGCCGAGCTTGGTGCAGTCGGGCCGAGTGCGGTACATATGAACACCTGCCTCGTCGCGGTATGAGCGTTGCTCGCGACGCCGAGAGGGCACTGGCCCGCGGCGTGGGCCAGAACGTGAAAGGCAGAACAAATCGACGGGTCTCGGAGCGCGGCGTTGTACGAACTAGGGTGCGCTGGAAGCGTCGACGAGGCAGAGATCATGATGCTATTCTCACGACCAATTGTCCTACGTAATTTGGGGTCCACAGCGGGTTACCTTGATCTTGGTCGAGAGATACGATACGCGAGCAAGTCGGTGGACTGAAACGGGCGACAACGTCGTGATGCTCATTGACACGAAACGCATGAACCGACGTCGTCCATAGAGCTCACTCACCTGCACTCGTTATCAAGTCCAAATGTCATGCCCGACGCGAGCCACAGCTATACACGTACATCAACCAGAGATGCACGACTCGAGTCAACGATGACATGAATCATGTTTCGTTAATATCGTGAGAGCGCCATTCTCTATGCTTACTGGTGGCGGGCGTCCCCTCCGAATGTGTGATTTGCGTGTGACGAGGCAACCCGGCCGTTCAATGGCGATGCGAGATGATCGTGGCACCACATGACTGTGAGAGACGGGAGTAATTCCAGATTGCATGACTGTAGTCTCGGTAGTCAGCAGTTTTGTTTAGTGAAAATACAGCGTGCTTCGTATCGCTGCAAGTAGACTCATCAACAGTGAGTGTCCCGACAGCATGGGCATCGCTGCACGTTTGGATGCGCAAGCCACTGTGGTGTGCACAGCCCGCGCCTGTCAACTCGCCATGGAAAACTCAACCCACCTTCAGCGCGCTTCTCTACAAGAATGTGAAGTTTACTAAACCGCGTCTGTGGTCCGAGATGGTCACCAGCAAAGCGACAAGCAATCCGTGGCCTGCGGGTATGCAGTGCACCTAGCTACTCGCTTCTTGAATCGCGCGGAGAAGCTTCCTTGTCTCGCATTGTTATCATCCTCACCCACTCGCTCACAGAACATCGACGCGTTCTACAATTATGTTCTTCATCGGACTTGACATAAAACAGCCCGACGCCGAGAACCCGCGAAGCATGCCCACGCGACCGACCACGTCGCGGCGCAGAGTCTTCTTGCAGTGCAGAAATACGCCTTTGCCAGAGGTCGATAGTCGATACACAAAACACCAAGGAATAATAAAACAAGGCAAAAAGTTGGATTCATAAATACAAAGTTCGTCTACTGCGAGAAGTTCATTGGGACAGCGTAGGTCATGGTGGCGCTAAAGCCAGCATGACAGAGTACATTGAGGATATCCCAGTCAATCTTGCGCACGCGGTCGTATTCCTCGGCGAGCGCGTACTGCTCCGACTCGGACAACGTCACGTCCAGGCTCGGGAGGTGCACGGTGGCGACGCCGTTCTTGTCACTGTCTCGATTGACGTTGTCGCCGCCACTGACCGAGCTGTCGTCGTTGCTAAAGACATCGTCGCCGTCCGTGCCCGCTGCGTCCTCGTTCGGTGTCAGCGACGCCGGGCGGTGGCGCCAGCAGTAGCCGCGGCTGCGCGCGTGGGTTTCGCAGCCGTCGATCTTGCACGGACGGCGGCCGCCATGGCGAATGCACTTGTTGTCGCGGTGGGCGACGTTGGTGCAGCCTTCGATCATGCAGACGCGCTTGACAATGCGGGCGCCATGGCGCGCACACACGCCGTCCTTGCGCGCGTTGGCCGAGCAGTTGGGCGCGGTGCACTGGCGCTTGCCGCCGTGGCGCACGCAGCGCTGGCGCGCAAAGACTTGGTTGTGGCAGTCGGGCACGATGCAGGCGCGGCGGTGCTTGTGAAAGTCGCAGGTGGTCTCGCCGGTCCGCGCGGGGTGCTCGCAGCCGTTGAAGTAGCACTCCATGTTGTGTTGATTGTTCGGGGTGTTGGGAAATTGTAGAATGATACCAGTGGCCAGTCGCGTGCCAAACCGGCGTGGAGAGGACCATACGGTATAAGACGTGGCAACGTACACGAGAAGGTTTCCATTCCGTTGGCTTTGAGAAACGAATGATAAATCTGCGGGTCCACAACCGGTTGGCGCTGCGTATTGGCCAGCAAGCCACATCGGCAGCTACGATTTGATTGGTGGTGGTTTCTGGTCATTTCACTCGTAATCCCGCTGGAAACTGAATCGCTCTGCCGTTCCAGGCGTGTGCGACATCAGCGTTGCGACTCGAGTCTTTGTCGGCTGAGACCATCCCCCTCTTAGTAAACCGCGAGCCAGTCGCAGACTACCGAGCTCCTTCCCGCCCATTCCCATTCCGTCGCCCAAGCTACTGGAGCTACAGTAAACCTTTCCTATCGTACACCAGCGGCGCGATTTGCATGTGAATGATACCTTGAGAACACGCCAACCACAGAGTACAGTACTGCACCCCAACGCAAGTCTATTGCGACACCGAGTAGTAGGAAGTGGTAGGAAGTTGCGCTTCAAAGAGGAATTTGGGTGGTCCTGATAGGGTGGCAACAGGAAAATTGCGTACCATAAATTCGCTGTGAAATCGAGATAAAGTTTCAGTTGCAGAAATGATCGGGACCGGTCGATGCTTACGTGGGCGCCTCAGTGCGTGGGTGCGTCGTTGCCACGGTAGCCATTAGTGGTGCCATATGGCCAGCCACGTGAATGATAGCTTGGGGCTGTTTTTACCAGTATCACTTGACAGAACGACTCAGCATGCCATCGGTTTGTATTCATGGCTGGTATTGCGGCCAGTGCGCTCTTCCGTCAAACACTCCAAAACGCCACCCACCACGACGCTATTTCGAATCGAGGGTCAATGTTCAAAAGCACCATTTTCGTGACGACCGGAAACGCAGATGGAGACCGAGAGTAAACGCGTCACATGTGTTATTAATACCATGTCATGTTACTAAAGTGCCACGACAAAATCGCTTGTCTCGCTCGTGGCGGGCGTCCCCTGCGGCGTGACGAGGCAGCCCGGGTGTACGGCTTCCAGGACGCTAGCCAAAATGGACGCGTCGAGCGTGTCAAGCGCTTCCCATCGAGGCGACTCGAGGTCCTCGGACACGAGGCTTGCGGGCAACGAGGCAATACTTGGGCGGTGGCGCCAGCAGTAGCCGCCGCTGCGGGCGTGCGTCGAGCACGCCCGCGCCTTGCACGGGCGGCCGCCGCCATGGCGAATACACCTCCCAAGTCGATGCGCGATGTTATCGCAGCTCACTTCGCTGCATGTGCGCTTGGGCGTGGCGGGGCCGTGGCGCGCGCAGCAACCGGCTGTCCGCGCGTTCGACGGGCACCCAGGGTGGATGCAGAGGCGCTTGCCGCCGTGACGAACACAGAGGTTGCGGGCAAATACTTGGTTGTGGCAGCCCTTGAATTGACACGACCGGCGATTCCGGTGAAACTCGCACTTGTTGCTGAGCAGCAGCGACGGCATGGTGCACTTGTTAAAGCGGCAGGTCATGGCAAAATGAAAAATGCTTTGAAAACAATGCTCGGAGCCAGCAGGTCAAGTAGTGGCACAGTGCATTGGCAAGCTGCTGCATGAACGGACGGTGCTAAAAAGATCTCTCGTTCCATAAAAAGGCGGGTGCATTCCTAGGGTGGCGCCACTGGCTGATGCTTGCCGAAGCGCAGGTGCTATCATAATGGACGAGAGCGGCGGCACAGACGCTGCTGTGCAATATCGTGCGGAAAATGATCCAGTCGGACTTGATAACGACGGAAAGATTCAACGTTGGTGCATCACTCACTCGACCTTGCACAGCATTCCCGGCAAGCACAAAGATCGAAGAAGCCACCTCGACGGAGGTGGTCTCTCGGTGCCAGCGACAATGGAGCTGCGCCGCTGCTGTGTTACTCACAAGACCTCCGACCAGCTCGCCGCTCGATCCTTTGGTTGATGCGGAGTAGCCGTACCCAATACCGACGTCGGTGCACTACGTATGGTACTGTGTTCCACGCCTACGAGGATAGCCCTTCCTATGGCTGTGCCAGCAGCTCACTGCAAGGACACTGCGTCGAGCGCCCCGTCCACCATGCTGCCGGTAGTTGTTGGTCGGAGCCATACAAACAGAAAAGTCTTGGGTACTTGTGAATACATAAAAATTAAATCATTTCGGTGCCACCCGCGTGATGGGGCGTGCGCATTGTCGCTTCATTCCACCCGTGGGTGGCGCCATCGCCGAGCAGTAGCCGCAGAAGATCGAGCATATCATCGTCCATGCTCAACTCGTGCTCCATAGCATGGACAGGGATCGGCTCGATCCCAGCCAGCGACGGCCGGTGCCGGTGACGCCAACAGTAGCCGCCGGTGCGTGCGGCAGTGAGACAGCCCTCGAAACGGCACGGACGCGGGCTCGGTGCGACGCCGAGGCGCTTCTTGGCCGCGATGCTGTGGCGGCAGCAGTACTGCCCGAGGCGGGCGTTGGCGTCGCAGCCGGGCTCTTGGCACGGGTTGCGCCCGCCGTGCGAGACGCAGAGCTGGCGCGCGTACACTTGGTTGTGGCAGTGGGGCGTCTTGCAAACGCCGCGGTTACGGTGGAACATGCACTTGACCGAGTTGGGGCGGCTCGGGAGCGCGCAGCCGTCAAAGATACACACCGTCGTCGTGCTGGTCATATCCGTTTGTCTGGTTGAGAAAATCGAAAAATGACAGCG